CCGGTGCGCACTGGCGCCGTGCGCACTGGCGCCGTGCCCGCTGGCGCGGTGCGAGCTGGTGCCGTGCGTGCTGCCACCGTGCGCGCCGGGGCTGCTGCCGTGCGCGCTGGTGCCGTGCGCTCTCTCCTCTCTCCTCTCTCCTCTCTCCTCTCTCCTATCTCCTCTCTCGTATCTCCTCTCTCCTCTCTCCTCTCTCCTCTCTCCTCTCTCCTCTCTCCTCTCTCCTCTCTCCTCTCTCCTCTCTCCTCTCTCCTCTCTCCTCTCTCCTCTCTCCTCTTTCCTCTCTCCTCTCTCCTTTCTCCTATCTCCTCTCTCCTCTCTCCTATCTCCTCTCTCCTATCTCCTATCTTCTCTCTCCTATCTCCTCTCTCCTATCTCCTCTCTCCTATCTCCTCTCTCCGCCCCACGCCTCCCTCCTTCCCCGATCCTGCCCCTACCGCGTCTCACCTCACCCTCTTAGGTCAATGCTTTCAACCTTGCAGCAGCCAGCAGTGTGACTCGGTGCGACAGTGCCTTGCCTATTCCCCACACCCTCCTCCTTTTCTTACCCTGCCTGTCCCTACCGTGTCCCTCCTCACCCCCTTAGGTGAATGCGTTCAACCCAGCAGTAGTGGGCAACGTGACGTGCCGCAACCTTATCAACACTGACTGGTGCGTGTGTATAGGCATGGCATGCCTGGCTGTGTGTGCGAATGGGCATGGCATGCCTGACTGTATGTGTATATGGGCATAGCATGCCTGGCTGTGTGTGTGTATGGGCATGGTATGCCTCGTTGTATGTGTGTATGGGGATGGCATGCCTAGCTGTATGTGTGTATGGGCATAGCATGCCTGGCTGTATGTGTGTATGGGAATAGCATACCTAGTTGTATGCATGTACGGGCATAGCATGCATGGCTGTATGCATGTATGGGCATAGCATGCATGGCTGTATGCATGTATGGGCATAGAATGCCTGGCTGTGTGTGTGTATGGGCATAGCATGCCTAGTTGTATGCATGTATGGGCATAGCATGGATGGCTGTATGCATGTATGGGCATAGCACGCATGGCTGTATGCATGTATGGGCATAGCATGCATGGCTGTATGCATGTATGGGCATAGAATGCCTGGCTGTGTGTGTGTATGGGCATAGCATGCCTAGTTGTATGCATGTATGGGCATAGCATGCATGGCTGTATGCATGTATGGGCATAGAATGCCTGGCTGTATGTGTGTATGGGCATAGCATGCCTACTTGTATGCGTGTATGTGCATAACGTGCCTGGCTGTATGCATGTATGGGCATAGCATGCCAGGCTGTATGTGTGTATGGGCATAGCATGCCTGGCTGTATGTGTGTATGGGCATAGCATACCTAGTTGTATGCATGTATGGGCATAGCATGCATGACTGTATGCATGTATGGGCCTAGCATGCTTGGCTGTATGTGTGTATGGGCATAGCATGCCTAGTTGTATGCGTGTATGTGCATAACGTGCCTGGCTGTATGCATGTATGGGCATAGCATGCCAGGCTGTACGCGTGTATGGGCATAGCATGCCGGGCTGTGTGCGTGTATGTGCATAACGTGCCTGGCTGTATGCGTGTATGGGGATGGCATGCCTAGCTATATGTGTGTATGGGCATAGCATGCCTGGCTGTATGTGTGTATGGGCATAGCATACCTAATTGTATGCATGTATGGGCATAGCATGCATGTCTGTATGCATGTATGGGCATGGTATGCCTGGCTGTATGTGTTTATGGGGATGGCATGCCTAGCTGTATGTGTGTATGAGCATAGCATGCCTGGCTGTATGTGTGTATGGGCATAGCATGCCTAGTTGTATGCATGTATGGGCATAGCATGCTTGGCTGTATGTGTGTATGGGCATAACATGCCTAGTTGTATGCGTGTATGTGCATAATGTGCCTGGCTGTATGCATGTATGGGCATAGCATGCCAGGCTGTATGTGTGTATGGGCAAAGCATGCCTGGCTGTGTGTGTGTATGGGCATGGCATGCCTGACTGTATGTGTATATGGGCATAGCATGCCTGGCTATCTGTGTGTATGGGCATATCATACCTAGTTGTATGCATGTATGGGCATAGCATGCATGGCTGTTTGCATTTATGGGCATAGCATGCATGGCTCTTTGCATTTATGGGCACAGCATGCTTGGCTGTATGTGTGTATGGGCATAGCATGCCTAGTTGTTTGCGTGTATGTCCATAACGTGCCTGGCTGTATGCATGTATGGGCATACCATGCAGGGCTGTATGTGTATATGGGCATAGCATGCCTGGCTGTGTGTGTGTATGGGCATGGCATGCCTGACTGTATGTGTATGTGGGCATAGCATGCCTGGCTCTGTGTGTATGGGCATGGTATGCCTGGCTGTATGTGTGTATGGGGATGGCATGCCTAGCTGTATGTGTGTATGGGCATAGCATGCCTGGCTGTATGTGTGTATGGGCATAGCATACCTAGTTGTATGCATGTATGGGCATAGCATGCCTGGCTGTCTGCATGTATGGGCATAGAATGCCTGGCTGTATGTGTGTATGGGCATAGCATGCCTAGTTGTATGCATGTATGTGCATAACGTGCCTGGCTGTATGCATGTATGGGCATAGAATGCCATGCTGTATGTGCGTATGGGCATAGCATGCCTGGCTGTGTGCGTGTATGTGCATAACGTGCCTGGCTGTATGCGTGTATGGGGATGGCATGCCTAGCTGTATGTGTGTATGGGCATAGCATGCCTGGCTGTATGTGTGTATGGGCATAGCATACCTAGTTGTATGCATGTATGGGCATAGCATGCATGGCTGTATGCAAGTATGGGCATAGAATGCATGGTTGTTCACTGTCTTAAGAAATCAATGTGGTCAGCGTGGGTTTTGCCTGCTCTCTTGTTTTTTTTTTCCTATTTCTGAGTTTCATCCCATGTTCCGCACTAAACCTTAAACCCTGAATGCAATATCTAACACCATAAGTGCATATAAACAAATGATGTGGTCCACTTTGAACGTATGTTGTGTTTCTATAATTCACTGGTGTACTGTGCAGATCGCAAGTCAAAGAACATCTTCCAACACCAATTTCTATTGCTTGTTGGAACATCTTGCGGGGACAAATTTCTTATTGCACGTCGTTACCAATGTTCTCTAATTTGGATGTAGGGGACTCCAACTATTAAGCTATTTGCGATGCTGCATGTGTCTGCTTGATTGTTGTGTGCATGAGAGAGAGGGGCGTGCATCGGTTTGATAAATACTGTCAGTTTCGGGGTGTGCCTGCTGTTCCGAGTCTCCATGTGCATAGTGCGTGTGGCAGCAAATGTGATCAGGCATGGATTGTGTCTGCTTCGGACGTGCTGCTTATATGCAAGGTGTTGCAATTAGAGGTTGTCATCGTGCGCGGGGCAGCTTTGTTGTCATTGCGCACCCGATCAATCTCTGTTGCAACATTGACGCATATATGCAATCGTTTTGTAGCACTCACAATCCTATCGTACATACATGTTCACTCCATCACTATATATATATCGACGAGATGGGGTGGCTGGCACGAGGTGTATTTGGATTGTGTTTGCCCCGAGCGTGCTGCTTTTAGGCTATGCGTTGCAATTAGAGATTGTCATCGAGTCCGGGGCAGCCCCGCTGTCATCGTGCACCCCATAAATCTCTACTGCAGCACTCTTAGAAACTTAGGACACGAGCCTCTTAAACTTAGGAGGCTAGGTAGGCTAGGATACTAGAAGTGACGCCATGGAATATCGTGAGGAGAAGTTTATCTAGGGGTAGGCAAAAGTGACGAGAAAGAAGGGTACGATTAGGAAGAGAGGGGAGTACAAGGAGGGGTTTGTACCCCCTACAGAAAGGTTCAGTAACAACCTACCAAGCCTATATTAAATTATAACTTATATAATTTTAACAAGCACTACTAATGCCTACATGCGCTCGTTTCCTGCCATTTACAATCCTACAGGGTGTTTAATTATACATAAAATTCTGTTGAAATATGTCATGCGGTCTGATTGTTCCATCCGCCGTACTTATCGACGCGATGGATCACTTTGGACATTCGGATTCATATTTTGGAGTTGCATCAAACAGTTAACTATATTCTTAAAAGTTTACTGTTCATATTAATGCTCTGAAATGTGAAACCGATTTTATAGGGTTGCTACGCAACCCAAAAAAAGAATAAAAAATGACTGGCGCACGGAAACATGAAACCAAATTTATAAGGTTGCTATGCAAACCAAAAACAGAGAATCGATTTTTTTTTGCCACGATCCTCCGAAACGGAAGCAATGTAGCGCGTCCTATTCTCGAGGTTTCGACAACGGTTGTCCATGCAAAAGCCAATTCGGAGGGAAGCTGGGCATTTTCGGCGCCAAGAACAGTTCTATCCTGTCTCCACGACTCGAGTGCAGGTGCGCAGATGCATTGCTTTGTCGCGGATCTGCGGGATGAGTTCTTGACGGCGTTTTCGTGCATCTCCGTGTCGCTATGCGATTCGACCCGTCTGCCCACAAAATTCGCCCTCCCTCAGTTCACTTGAAGGCGTCCCGCCGTGGGAGATTTTTGAATTTCAGTGGCCTTTCTTCTGTGACCCGCCCATTCCGGAAGACATCGCATCCGTCCATCTTCATGAGTCGAGGTCGGGATTGGAGGCATGGAATTCCACTTGCCTTGCTGAATCGACCAAGCCAACCTCCGAGCCATTCCAGCAAGCCAAGCCCAGCCAAGCCGTCTGTCCCTCCCCCTCGTCTCACTCGTCGTTTTGCCTCAACACCCTGCACTGTGGAATCATTCCCAACGTGCTGCTTCCTCCTCGCCTGATTGGGACCAACTTTTGGGAACAGCCTCCAATCAGCCAAGCCGCCAAAGCGCAAACCCCCGCCCTCGTGCTCCTTCTCTTGTGGCCCAGCTCACTTCTCCCAAACCTGTCCCCTTCCCCCCTTCATCCCTCCCTCCTAAACTCTCTTTTGGTCCACTTTGCTTCACTCGCGTAGCTCTCGAAGGCATTTTGCACCCTTGAATCTTTAGCGATTGAGCAACCTTAGTTTTTTCCCATTGCCATTTCTTCCACCATTTCGCTTTCACCACACTAAAGCAACTAACGCCCATAACACAGGAGACTTTTACACTCTACGAGCCGAAAGCACTGCCATCACGTGAAACCGCTCAGCGCATACTTTAATCGACGACACCCTAGACCGAGTTCATACAACATACGTGTGGCTGCCGATTTCCCACCGCACGTTTTTTGGTGCGACGACGCCCTAAACCGAGTCTCCAGAACGAAATTGCTCGTTAGCCAGCTATAAATACATATTGCAGATCTTAATAGCCATACGAATGGCGATACGAAGCGATCGTAACCTAATGCTTGGACTCTCCTCGACCTTCCTCCTCCTCCTACTACTGCATCTCGGACCTGCAGTCGCAAAACCCGACCCTCAAGCGGAGACACCCACCGCGTCCTCCGCCCCGCTTCCCGCCGCGCCTCCCGCTATAACTCCGGAGCCGAGGGTCGGTGTTCCCGCGGCCGGCAAAGGCAGCGCAGCGGCGCCCGTACCCGCATCGGGGGGAGCAGGCGCGGGGAAGAAAGTGGACGGGGCGGCGACGGGCGCGGATGCAAGCACGGTCGCGGGGAACGCGATGAAGGGGAAGGACGACCCGTGGGCTCCGGCGATGGTGGCAAATTACGGGCAGCTGATCCGCGCGCTGGACCAGCGCAAGCCGATCGTGATCGTGGATACGTTCTACCTCAAGGGCCCCATGCCCAATATCACGTGGACCGTTAATATCACCGGCCACCCCCGCTGCAAGAAATCCGAGGTGCGCGCACGGCGACGGGAGAAGAGAGAGGGAGGACGAGTGAGAGGGGGGGGGGGTGAGAGAGAAGGGGAGCGTTAGGATGGCCGAGAGGGCAGGCGGGGAGGGGGTAGAGACGTTCACGTTTTGCCTCTATTTTCGTTCATGCATCCGTTCGTCTCTTCTGTCGTCACTCTCTCCTTCCAGCCCCGGTCCTTCTGCCCTACTCCCCCGTCTCTCCGTACCACTGGTACGCGTTTACTGGCATTCCGGCTGCTCCGGCGTACCGCCGCGCCTTACTCCCTCAAAACCCTCGTTTCTCTCGACAAACTCGGCGTTAGTGCAGCGAGGATCTGCTGCCGTCTCTCTTGCTGCCAACAGGGCCGAAGATGCCATTGCCCTTCCCCCTGGTGGAGTCCCGCTCCGCCGCATCGCGCACGTGGCTACCGCTTTCCGCCGACGCTCCGATCACTCTCTTACTCCCCCCTTCCTCCTTCCCCACGTTCTCCCCGTATTCGCCTTCTGCCTAACTCGTCTCCTTTCCCCACTCTCCCCCCCCTCCCCCACCCCTCCCGCCTCCTTCTCCGCGTCGCAGCTGGGCATGTGTCGCATCGACGCGCGTCGCCGCAGTCGCCACTTCATCGTCGACAAGGGCGGGCTGCTGGCCATCTCGAACCTGCAGCTCAGCCGCGGGCGCCCCGTCACGGGCAGCGGCGGGTCCATCTGGCTCATGAACGGCGGCGAGGCGCAGCTCGACAACGTCTTCTTCCGCTTCAACGGGCTCTACGGCGTGGTACGCGCGGGATAAGGGGGGTTTTCCTGGTGCTGGTGTGTGTGGGGGGGGGGGGGAGTTGGGAGGGGCAGGGGCAAGGGGAGGGTGCTCGGCTATCTGGGCCTGTGTGTGCTTGGCTTCCTATGGGGTGCTCACCGACTTACCTGTCATTTCTAACACCTCCTCTCCCTCAACTCCTCTCCCTCACCTTCTCTCCCTCCCCCCCCTTCCCCCCGTACCTCCCCCCTCCCCCCGCTTCCCTCCCCACGCGCGCAGACGACGGCAGGCGGCGCGGTGGAGGTGGACGAGGGCGCGGCGCTCACCTGCCACCGCTGCCATTTCATCCGCAACTTCGCGGGGTTCGGCGGGGCCGTGTCGCTGGCGAAGGGCGCGCAGATGACGGCGGACGGCAACGTCTTCCATCGCAACATGGCGTCGACCGCGGGCGGCGCGGTGAGCGCGATCATGAAGGCCACGGTCAGCCTGCACCGCTCCAAGTTCAACGCCAACAGCGCCGCGGTACGTCGCTGCGATGCGTCGCGACGCGATGCGTTGCGTTGCCGCATTGCGTTGCGTTGCCGCATTGCGTTGCGTTGCCGCATTGCGTTGCGTTGCGTGCGCCCCCGTCGTTTGCTCGCTCACGCTCTGGCCCCCCTCCCTCTCGTGCTACTCTCGCTCTTACCCCCTCTCTCTCCCTCGCCCTCGCACTCTCTCTCCCTCTGTCTGTCTGATTCCCCCTCAGTCGTCTCCGTCGTTTCACTCTCACTCTCAATCTTTCTCTCTCGCGCTCTCTCTCTCTCTCTCTCTCTCTCTCTCTCTCTCTCTCTCTCTCTCTCTCTCTCTCTCTCTCTCTCTCTCTCTCTGCGTCTGTGCGTGGTGCTCAGGTGGGCAGTGCGGTCCACGCGTTCGACTCGAGCCTCACTCTCTGCCAGGCCAGCTACTACAACAACAACGCCTCGCTGCCGGTAAGCTGGCTTCCCTGCTTATGCCAGTCCGTTCAGCCGTTCTTGGTGCACCGGCACGATACCACTCACTTCACCTTCGGTTGCTGCTACCTCAATGCTCATCCCCTAGTTCCTCCTCTCACCCCTCTCCACGCCTTTTTCTCTCTCGTTATCTCTCTTTCCTGCTCGCTTCGTACTTCCGGCTGTCTCATCCCTTCCCACCCACACCTGCCCGTCTGTCACTCTCTCTCTATCTATCCGTGTGTCTGTCTGTCTGTCTGTCTGCTGGTTGGCGACTATGGTGAGCAGGGGAGCGTGTTTCTGGCGAGCAGTGCGAGCTCAGTGACAGCATGCAACTTGCAGAAGGGGTCGCTGGTGCTAGAGACGGGGTCCACGCTCGCCAACGCGGCGTGCAACACATGTGGCACCAGCATCGGCACGCTCGGCAAGCACAATAGGAGATAAGCACAAGCACCCGATCATACACCGCGCTCTGCCTGTGTCGTGCTGCTGCTGCTTGTTGGATTATTGAGAGGTCCGTCAATCACTGCCGACACCCCACCATGGAGCTTTGATGTCTCACCCTGGAGCTTTGATATCAATCAACAACCGACCCGTCACTCCCCCTCAGGCAATGCCTAGGGAGACTGTTGGAAGTGAATGACGCCGTGAACTGGCCAGGATGCAGTGGTTGGGGGAAGGGTGGTGATGAGGGTGGAAGTCAGAGGTGTTATGCTTCTAAGTAGAGCTGCAAACAGATGTTACCTAGGTTGAATTGGCCATAGCTGGCGCTAGTAGTGTAGGCCTTTGCATTAGTTTGCCACTGACTGATGCTTTATGTGTGGGATGTTGTGATAGTAGATCGCTGCGAGCTACTATGTCTGATGCTCGTCTCAACAAAAAAAAAATAGGGCTTGTATTTGGTAGCAATCAAGATGAAAAATTGGGCCACATGTGCATGAGTAAAAGACCAACATGTTCGTATGCACTTGTTGCACCCTAAACCCTAGTTTGGCAGCACCCTTGTTGCACTTCAAGTGTCCACACTCCTTCTCTTGCTAGAATGTCTGATTGGAGCTTAGTACGGTATGTTTCATTTGGATACAGTACAGCACTACGATTTTCAGCATTCGGCGTGATAATTGGAGCGTAGGGAATACCCCCGTCGATCATTTCCGCGGGTGCAGCTGGTCACCAGGTACCATGCCCTACACAAGTGCGCTGCGCACTCCTCCATGCTGACGTTTCTACGCGAGGTCTGAGAGTCACCGCTCTGCTGTCCGAAGCTCGTTCCACTCTGAAACTCCTTTCCCTAGACTCCCCAATACCCAGCATCGACACCACAAGAGCCTCAGAAACCACTCCGCGAACCTGCATCGCCCCAGCTGGTCGGCTGCTATGGCCACCGCGCCCGCGCCGCAAGCCTCTCAGCAGCCGATCATCTCGGGTGAGCCGCGCGTCGAGGGCCATTTTCGAAAGCCTCAAAACAGAGACAATTCGTTTCGGGCCTCAAAAGTGAGAGAATATTCGAGGCGCCTCAGCCTCGTGAGCAACTGGACCTCGAGCGAGCCACGTGTGTGGAATCCTGGAGAGCTGGACCTCAGCAGAGCTGACTAGCGCGCTGCTTCGTTGTTGTAGCAAGCAGTTCATCCCCGCATTGTCCGCAAGGGAAGGCGTACCGCGAGAGAGGCGGAGAGCGGAGAGCGGGAAAAGACGTAAGGCGAGAGAGGGTTAGATCTGTCTGAGATGGCACGCCGTTGTAAGGATTGCCGCCGTTCATAGCATTATTCCTCGCCACGTCATCGCTGATCTGTGCCACTTCTCCACTTGCCCGCTTTTCCTCCAGCTGCTGACGTGGCGAAGGAGTTTAAAGAGCAAGTGCAGCTACTCCAGGACCAGGTACTTACCACGTACCGCTTACCACCGCTTACCACGTACCGCTTACCACCGCTTACCACGTACCGCTTACCACTTGCCGCAAGCTGCTCTTGTTTGGAGAAATCTCAAAACAAGGCCAGGTACTTACCACTTACCGTAGGCTACTCTTCGTCTTGTCCCTTATCTTTCGTCCATTCTCCCCTTTCCCCTCCCCTCTCCCCCTTTTCCCCTCTCCGATTCCTCCGCCTCCCACTTCCCTGTCTCCCCTGCGAACTTGTGCAGTCATGCACCATGTGTCGTCTCTCATGCTCCTCGTTTCCCCCCTTCCTGCCTGCCTGCCTGCTTGTCTCTCTTTCCCTGCGTGCCCTCTTCTCTCCCTCCCTCCCTCCCTCCCTCCCTCCCTCCCTCCCTCCCTCCCTCCCTCCCTCCCTCCTCCCCCTCCTCCCTCCATCCCTCCCTGCATGCGTGCGTGCGTGCGTGTGTGTGTGTGGAGAGGGTGGGCGTGCGGCAGGATGCAGGCAGAGTGGCGGCGGCAGCAGCGGCCGTGATGGTGCTGGCCACGAGAGACCAAGCGCTGCTGTTGCTGCCCTCTGCTGTGAGTCTTTCGCGCATGCACGCATGCACACAGGCACACATGCACCCGTGCTCACATGCACACTTGCGCACATGCACACATGCACCCGTGCTCACATGCACGCATGCGCACATGCACACACGCATAGTGGGGGGGGGGTTTCCAGGCATGCACGCACATGTGTGCATGCAGTGCTGGCGCTCATTAGCTATTGTAACTACTATCCATTGCACAGGCAGGGTTGCGAGAATGGTTTGCATGCTATCACAAGGCCTGGCCTCCTCCTCTCCTGTCAGAACTCTCACCACCACCATCGCTAATTCCTTCTCCATTTCTCCATTCTCCTCCCGTCCCCCATCCCTCCATGCCTCCGTCCCGCCATTCTCCTCTTCTCCTGTCCGCCCACTGTCCCGTCTGTGCCCTCTCTGCCCTCTTCACGCCACAGGTGCCTCCTCTCATCAGCCTCCTCATGTCCTCATCAGATATGCATGTGCGGGTGCGTGCATGTGCATGTGTGTGTGTGTGTGTGTGTGTGTGTGTGTGTTTTCTTCCTGTCGCCACTACCATTATTAACCCCTCTCCCAACCCCCCTTAAACCCCTCCCCCGCCTCCCCCCCCAAACTCCTTCCACTCCGTGGTTAACAATTTCTCCGATTCACTCCTACCTCTCTTTCACCTTCCTTCCACTGCCTCCCGATTCGTGAGACCCCTGAAAATACCTCCCCTCTTGCACCGTGCACCTACGGCGGCCTCTCCTGGCATCTCTATCTGCTGCCTCCTGGAGACCCCGTCCCTCTGTGTCTATTCGCGTCTGCATCCCATGACTGTTGAGTCGACTCCAAAGTCGCCTCGCCTCGCGTCTATCGGCTTCCTCCTGGAGACCCCGTCTCTCTTTCTCCATTTGCCTCTCTGCATTCCACGATCCCATCATCCCACTCCTTCCCCTCCCTGTTTCCCTTCACCATCTTCTCCCTCTCCCCTCTCCCCTTCCCCCTCTCCTCTCCTCAAAACCCCCTTCTCTCTCTCTTCCCCACCCCCCCTTTCTCCCAATTCTGCCATCTCTCCTCCCCCCCACCCCCCCGCCCTCCCCTCTCAGCGCAACTCCCTGGCGGCCCTGACCTCCCTCATGTCCCGCTCCCAGCACCTGCACTCCACGGTCGCCAAGGCGCAAGGCATTGTACGATATGGCACAATAGGATCTCGCCTCTTGGCATCTCATCTGATCTCCCCTCGTGTCATCTGATCTCATCGGATGCCACCTGTTGTCATGTGATGCCACCTGATGTCATGTGATACCACCTGATGTCATGTGATGCCACCTGGTGTCATGTGGTGTCATCTGCTCTTCGGGCTTGTGGTCTTGGCTTCTTGCCTTGCCCTGAGTGCCTGCACATCCCCCCTTGTCTCCCTCTCTGTGCGCACCCTCGCTTGCATATCCCAGCTGCTTTGTCTCCTCCTCTGTGAACCCCCCCCCCCCCCATTCGTACCCTATCCCAACTTCCTCCCCCCCACCCCTTCCCTCCCCCCCTTCCGCCCTCCTTACCCTCCGCATATCGCTCACCATCACACCCATCTCGCTCCTCTCTAATCTCTTCCTCCCAGCTCTCCCCTCTCCTCTCCACCACCTCACCCCCTGCACCCGTGCCCTTCCCATAGGGTCCGCTGGTGCTGGGGGCGCTCAAGGAGGGGGTGGGGGTGTGCATCGATCAAGGCGGCTTGTTCTCCATTTCCGCCATAACGCCCCCCCATCCTCTCTCTACCCCCTGTCCCGCCTGCACCCGTGCGTGTACCGTAGGGTCCGCTGGTGGTGGGAGCTCTCAAGGAGGAGGTGGGGGTGCGCATCAATGCCGCTGCCTTCCTCTCCAACCTCGCACAGGAGTGAGTGAGTGAGGGCATAGGGTGTGTCAGTGAGTGAGTGAGTGGGTGAGTGAGTCACGGAGTGTGTGAGTGAAGAGCTTATCCGAAAGGGCATTGGGGTCCAGTGCTCGAGGCGGCTGAGCTTGCATTGCTGGACTTGCTGGGGTCTGAGTTTGGAGTTGGGTTCGGACCCCGTTCCATGTCTGTGTGCCATGCGTATGTGCACCTGTAAATGCGTGAACCTGTTTCTGGATGTTCATTCGCGTGTTTCTGTTTCTGTGCTTGCCCACATGTGTCTATGTATCTACGCATGTGTCTGTGGACGTATCTACATATGTGCCTGTGAATGTATGTACACAAGCATTTGTGCATGTATCTATGCATGTGTCTGTGCATGTGTCTGTGCATGTGTCTGTGCATGTGTCTGTGCATGTGTCTGTGCATGTGTCTGTGCATGTGTCTGTGCATGTGTCTGTGCATGTGTCTGTGCATGTGTCTGTGCATGTGTCTGTGCATGTGTCTGTGCATGTGTCTGTGCATGTGTCTGTGCATGTGTCTGTGCATGTATCTGTGCATGTGTCTGTGCATGTGTCTGTGCATGTGTCTGTGCATCTGTCTGTGCATGGGTCTGTGCATGGATCTGTGCATGGGTCTGTGCATGGGCATGCGCATGTGTGCGTCCCTATCAGTGCTGAGGGAGTGGCTGTCATCACATCAAGTGCAGGGCAGGAGGCTCTTGCAGCCGCCCTTCAGGCCACTGACAATAACGGTCAGTCAGAGCATACCATGCCATACCATACCATACCATACCATACCATACCATACCATACCATACCATACCATACCATACCATACCATGCCATACCATGCCATGCCATGCCATGCCATGCCATACCATACCATGCCATGCCATGCAATGCCATGCCATACCATACCATGCCATGCCATGCCATGCCATGCCATGCCATGCCATGCCATGCCATGCCATGCCATGCCATGCCATGCCATGCCATACCATACCATACCATACCATGCCATGCCATACCATGCCATGCCATGTATGCGACTCATTCATGTATCGACTCACACGACTACCCATCCACTACTTGGATCCCATTGCACTCCCCTCCTCTCCCCCACCTCCCCACTCCCCTCCATCTCCCCCTTGTCCATCCCCGCCTGCGTCTTCCCCACTACCTGTCCTCCCACCAGCCCGCTCCATCATAGCCCCCCTCTCCATCCTTCCTCACCCAGCATTAGTTCCCTGCAGTTCCCCTTCCTCTCCACTCATGTTGCCTTGCCCCCCCCTGTCCCGCCCGCAGATCAGAGCCTGGAAGTGCTGGCGGATGCCATCTGCGCCATTGCGTCCTCATCCAAGGAGGCAGCAGCTGTTCTTGTTGCCAAGCAGAAGTACACCAAACGAGGTGTTAAGTAAACCATCGTTCCCCCCTCTGTGTTGGCTTCCCCCCCCCCTGCCCTGCCCCGCAGATCAGAGCCTGGAAGCGGTGGCGGATGCCATCTGTGCCATTGCGTCCTCGTCCAAGGAGGCAGCAGCTCTCCTCGTTGCCAAGGTGCCCACATGTTTTGAGACGTCTTAGAATAGAACTAGGTGCCCACATGTTTCACCCCACTTCTGTCTCATATCGGATCACATTCCCCTAAACTGCGTGGTACGCCTACTACGTTTCATCCCCACCAACCAGACCCCACCGTACCCCACCTTACCCAACCCATCGTTTCTGCCCAAGCCCAAGCCTCGCTCGCTGCTGCCCTCTGGTCACCACCCTTCTGCAGTGCATGTGCGCCCCTGGAATTTCCTCTCCTCTCAACACATGCCTGACCATCTTCCCTCTCCCCATCAAATTCCCCGCTGCCCTCTCCACTCGGCCCTTTCTCCCCCCAGGGTGCACTGGAGCCCGTGGCCTCTCTGCTGCCCTCCCCCCACTCATCTGAAGTGCATGTGCGAGCGCTCATTGCCATCGGCGTGCTGCTGCCAGCCAGGTAATGTGCCGTCACTGCTGCTGCTCCCTCTCTGCTGCCCCCTCTCTGCCGCACACTTTCTCTGCTGCTTTTGCGTTCCTCTGCTACCTGAAGCACAAACAAGCACGCACATGTGTGCTGGGAAACATCGTGCTTGCCTCACCTAAATGTCAGCCGCTGGCGGCCTTGGGAAAAGTTTTCAATGCATGCATTGCTGCTGCCATGGCTTCAGTCAACCCACGCCGTGCACCTCCGCACTCACTCCTCCATCCTGCCTTGGGATCTTCCCACCCTCTCTCTCACACTCATGTTCACTCTCTCTCCACTCTCACCCCCACTCTCACCCCCACTCTCATTCCCAATTCCCAGTCCTGACGCTCCCTCTCGCCTGGCTTCCGTTGAAGGCGCACTCCCCTCTCTGCCTGCTCTTGCCAGGTGAGCCGCTCCCCTTGTAATTGCATCTCTACATTCCTTACTGCGTTTCACCCCTATCCGAATCCCCCAATCCCCCCACCGGCGGTAGAGACCTTTAGGGAAAACCAAATTGCGTAGTTGCTTCCGGCTGACTGGGTGGGTCATCCGTTCGTCCTTGCTGTATGTGGCTTGTCACCTGCTACCGTATTCGCTTTCAACCACTTCACAAGTCACACACATGTAAGATCAGTCTCAACACTTGCATACTGGGAGAGAGAGCCCACACACCACACTGCGATTGATTCTGGTGGTTAGTATTGTCGAGAGACCCGCTAGGGTTGCCCTTGAGATCCTCGGAGAAGGGCTACAGGTGCAGAGCCGGGGGGATTATGGGCGCACTTACCTGTTACTTAACAAGCCCTTATAAGGCAGTGGTTAGTGACTGAGTTCCAATATGGTATCAGAGCCAAAGGTCTCGGGTTCAAATCCTAGTGTGCACCGGTAGAGGTGGCAGTGTACCGGCAGAGGTGCCAAGTCTTCCGCCACCTATCCTAGCGAGGGGGGGTGTCGAGAGATCCGCTGGGGCTGCCCTTGAGATCCTCGGGGAAGGGTTACAGGTGCAAAGCCTAGGGGGTTATGGGCGCACTTACCTGCTACTTAACAAGCCCTTTTTTTAACTCAGTAGTTAGAGCGTGTTCTTACGAACCCCTTCCCAGCCAACCTCTTCCCAGACTCACGCGCTGCAGTGTCGCAAAATTTGACGCGAAGTTGTTCAGTACGGTTCCGCGTTGTTCGACGCAACGTTGGGGTTGCCGAAATCAAGGGCGTGTTCCGACATCTTCTTTCCTGGCATACGCGTATCTGTACAGCGCAATTCTGACGCAAGGTTTTCCTGTTGCGGACCCCAAACCCTGGAACGCGAATCTGAAACGGAATGTCTGAAACGGTTCCGTAGGAACACGCTCTAAGTGACTGAGTTCTGATAAGTATCACTGCTCAAGGGTCTTAGTTTGCAGGCACACTGCGATAGTAACGTGCCTTTTCTCCCACACCCTGGCTGCAGATCTAGTGACCCGGACGTGCGTGTCATTGCTGCCGACCTCTTTACGACAATCGCCAAGCACACAGAACTACGGCCTCTGCTCGAGCAACAACTACGAGCCAAGTAGAACATACCGTAGTTTGACAGCAGATTTGCTCCACTAGCTGGGATGGTCTGCTCTGCTTGCTAGGATAGCCGTGTGCATCTCCTACACCTCATCGAATAAAAGACACTTTCATTTATTCAGGGCGTTGCGGCAGCTTAGCTTATTCCTTGTCATTCCAGCAGATGGATTGGATCTTGAGAAAGCAAACCCAGGGAAGCAAGCCCTACACGAGCAGCAAGCATGGGCAGCTAGAGGAGGTGTGTGTGACTTGTGAGGAGGTGTCCTTACATGCACAAGGAACAAGGCAAGAATTGGTTGTGGTCAAGAAGAAAAGGAACCCTTGGCCTACAGTTTTGCATGCTGAGTATGCCGTGGAACAAACAAGTGATCCAGGGGCTACTATAAAAGGCTGGGTTCAGAAACAAACAAATTTCCGTTGCCGGGACTTGAACCCGGGTCTCTCGGGTGAGAGCCGAGTATCCTAACCGACTAGACTACAACGGAAACAAATATCAATTAAATATTTACAAATGTTTTTAAACAAGTATTGCAGCAGTGGTTTCAGTGGGATCGTCCATGTTCGGTGGCTGATCATCCGCCGCGAATGGCGCAGGACAAATCCACTTCGGTCGTGGGTTCACCCAAGCCTTCTCTCCCGATCCCAGGCCTCCAGTGCCATTCAAAGGTCTCTCCACCAATCCTTGGCCAACCCGATCTCGAGTCGCTTCTCGCTCACGCGACAGCCAGCTGTTTGCCGGCCCAGTTCTTCCGACAAAACGGCGGCGGCGGCGGCGGCGGACGGCTAAAGGCGTACGTGGCGGCGCTCTTGTCGTTTCTACGGCCGTGGCAGTGGCTGTGGAACGCACATCTCGTCAGCTTTTTCGATCAACGGCTGTGGGAGCGCGTTGATCCGCGATGGCTGGACGCTCTGTCGAAATGCCACGTGTCAGAGCTGCTTCTAGTCCCGTCCGGCCACGTGGCGCGTTCCGATTGGCCTCAGGATCTCAAAGAGTTTATCAAGAATGCGCGTAGGCTTTCACTTAGGAGAGATATGGCGACGATGGGGAACGGAAGGAAACTGCGAGAGAGGAGTGGAGTGAGAGGAGAAGTCGGAGGAAGGAAGGCGACATGTGGCAGCAGCAGACCGGCCGAGAGGGTTCGAGCGACACGTCAGCAGCACACTTTTCTGAACCCTGAACCCTGGCTGTCGTCTGTTCCTCGCGAGCTGACGCGTGGCATGAATCCGAAAAAGCTTCATGAGATCGAACGGCTGTCGTCGCTTGTAGCAGCTGTCGCGGAGCACTCTGCCGCCCATTGCCTCTCCCGCAGTCACTGTTCATCCAGCTACAGGAATCACTGTGCCTCTGGCTCCGATGGCTACTGTTCAACGAGGGGGGTGAATGTGACAGAAACGAGTGGCGCAGTAACGGTGGTCGATCTTGGGGCCGGGCAGGGTTATTTGTCTCAGATTCTTTCGTTTCATTTCGGGCTGCCCGTTGTGGCAGTGGACGCGTCGCACCACCACACAAGTGTGTTGCACACACGCGCGGCACGCGCCAGTAAGTCTTGCGGGAAAGAGAGGAAGCAGAGGAATAAGGGGGGGAAGGGGAAGATGAAGGGAGGAGAAGGGGAAGAGGGGAGGAAGCGCGGGGAAGGGAGTGAGTTAAAGGACGAGGAAGGGTTGGCGTTGACAGGTGCTGGTGCCGAACCATGGGGGGGCCGAGTTTGTGCCTCCGAGCCTGAAGCGCAGCCAGATGCAGGCTTGATACAGGCTCCGAGGCTGGTGACTCGAACTATAAGTCTTGGCTCGGCAGCTGCCACAATTGGGGCGTTGCTGAGAGGCGATGGGGAGAGGAGAGGGGAGGGAGCAGGGGTGGATGAGGGCGAGGAGGAGAGGAAAGGGGAGGATAAGGAGGGAGAGAGAGAGGCGGCCAATGCGGGAAGCGCGGAGGAGAGCGATGTGGATGCGGAGAGTGGCATGGCAAGGGATGGCGTGGCAAAGGATGGCAACAGCTGTAGCTGTAGCGTGCGTGGATTGCTGGCAGGGCTGCATGCGTGTGGCGACCTCACAGTGAGCGCACTGAGAGCGTTCGTGCTACAGCCGGAGGTCCGAGCCATGGCCATGGTGGGGTGCTGCTACAACCTGCTCTCAGAGCAAGGGGAGGGTGCTGGGGGCGAGAAGCACGCCCCCCTTGCCCCACCTGCCCCACCTCCCCCACCTGCTGCTCCGTCTCCTCCTCCCAGGCTGCCTGCTGCCCAGCACCTCCTACAGCAGCCAAGGGATTCTGGCGCTCCCTCCCCGTTTCATGCTCCTCCTGTTGCTGCTGCTGCTGCTGCTGCTGCTGCCACTTTGTCTGATTCTCCTTCTCCTGCTCCTTCTGCTCCTTCTTCTCCTTCTGCTCCTTCTGCTCCGTCTTCTCCTTCTGCTCCTTCTGCTCCTTCTGCTCCGTCTTCTCCTTCTGCTCCTTCTTCTCCTTCTGCTCCTTCTGCTCCGGCCGTCGCCGTGCCCCCCTTTGGCTTCCCCTGCTCCTCCTATGTGCGCGCAGTCCCTCTTCCCCTCGAACAGATCATTTCTGATCAGCACACGTGTCGGCCTCTCATTGGCCGCAACGGCCGTGACCTGGCGTGCCAGAGTGCTGACAGGTGGAGGGTGACCCCCCCTGAAGAGGCTGAGGGAAACTTTGAGGTGCATTCCTTCCGGGCGGCACTAGAGGTGCTGATCAGGCGGCATTGCGCAGATAAGGACAAGAGTGCTGGTAAAATTGATGGTGTGAGTGAGGGTTCCCTTGCTGGAAGGAGTGAGGGGCTGGAAGGAGGTGGAGGAGGAAGTGAGGGGGGAGGGATGAGTGGGATACGAGTGGGTCGGTTGGGTAAAGCGACGAGGAGAAGGAGAGTTGCAGCTGCTGCCGCTGCTGCCGCTGCTGCTTCTGCTGCTTCTGCTGCTGCTGCTGCTTCTGCTGGTGCTGCTTCTGCTTGTGCTGCTGGTGCTGCTGGTTCGGCTGATGCCACCAAGCCTGCTGCATCTGCTAGATCAGACAACACCTTTACTCTCGAGAAAGCAAGTCCTTGCATTGCTGGCAGCAGCTCATATGGAGGAGGACCAGGGGACCAGGATGTGCATGATGAGAGGGGAGAGCATTACAGGGCAGAAGGAGAACCCGGCTCAAGCGCGCCTCACTCCCCACCGTCCTCCCCTTCCTCCTCTCCTCTCTTCCGCCAACAGCTCTCAGCCTTCTCCTCCTACGCCCTCTCTGCCTGCCTCAAGCTCCACATCTCCCCACCCCCCTGCCCCTCTCTCATCGCAAGTGTGTGGGGCGAGGTGTGGCCGCACGTCCCCCTGGTGCAGGTCTTCTGGTGCCTGAGAGCCGTGCTGGCAGGGGCGCTGGAGTCGCTGCTGGTGGCCGACCGGCTGCTGTGGCTGGAGGAAATGGGGGGGAGAGTGATGATGGCCAAGGGAAGTGGGGTAGAAGAGGAATGTGCTGACGAGGGTGGGAGGGAAGAGCAGCAGGGGGAGCAGCAGGGGGGACAGGAGGTGAGCGGCTGCAAGCGACCAGCGTTTAGTTTTGCTGTGGTCCCGCTCTTCCAGCCAGAGACGTCGCCTCGCAACCTGGCTATTGTGGCACTCAAGGACCTGGCCTCGTAGTAACCAGAGCAGAGCACTCAGAATTGCTGGTGTTGCTGCTCGTTTTAGGAAAGCATCATGTCATGTTCCAGTGGCTTACGTCCACACCTAGTATGGGAAAAGTATGCTGACATGCTGCCGTAGATAGTATTCTGAGAACGTTCATCCACTATGTTATGGTGCACACTTCTGTGCTGTTATCCTGTCTCGTCACTTCTCATCCAATACATGCTTGTGAAAGCGAGAAAGAAGCTTGCAGTGTGCACAGCCTACAGTAACCAGAAAAGGGAATGCAGCTCACATTGCAATGGATTCTCAAATTGGTGTAAAAAAAAAACTGTGCGCAACATGCCACAAGGTGAGCGAAAAATGCGCACATAATAAAAAAGCAGTCACATGCTTAGGGGGTCCGACTCTGAAACCTGCTGCCACCCAGGCGGGAAAAAGCAGCAGCCCTGCAAATGAACGGTATCCTATGCATGCTTCAGCCAGCATGCCCCTACTGAATGTAACCACCATAAGGGTTACCAAACAGGCTCGCCCGCGCGGCTCTGTAATCCCCGCGCCCTGCCTCACTCAGCGCAGGGGAAGCGGGGCCCATTCCCCCCACCATCACCGGACCTAACCCTCCGACAGGCGCTACTCTCCCAGCAGTCGCAGTCGCAGCGGCGGCGGCGGCGGCAGCAGCAGCGGCAGCCATGGCTCTGGCGTTGACAGCGGCAGCGGAGGCTGTAAGCGAGCCGTCGTCGAACAGGAGTCTGAGCATACCGTGGGAAAGCGCCGCGGCCGTGTGCTGGTGCTGCTGCTGTTGCCGCTGAAACACATCGTCCAGCCGGCCGGCGAAACACTCGTCTCCGTCCACCGACGGCAACGGCCGGCCGGCCGGCGGCGTAGCCGGCATGCCGCCTTGAAACGAGTTGGTGTTGGTGCCAGCCGCGCCGCCGCCGCCGGTAGCAGCCGCCGCACCCAGCGCCACGCGAGCATGCACCAACATGGCTTCCATAGCGTCTAGCGCCGCGGTTCCATGTCTCCCTTGCGCCCGATGGTCGAAGCACCGCAGCTGCTGTAGCTTGTCCGCGACATGGCACCCGGGAGCCTGATTCCCCCTGTACACCGCCGCCGCCGCCGCCGCTACGGCCGCCGCCGCTGCGGCTGCCTCAGCGGTCGCGGCAGCCAGCGGTCTGGTGAAACCCGCCCGCGCGCGCTTCGTCGGCGAGCCATCCTTTGCAGGCTCGAAATCCCCGAGATCTCCCAACAGCGCAGCCGCGGGAGCCGCAGGAGCCGCGGTGTCGTCCGGGAATTGCAGTCTGCGCGCCTCGAAGTGCTCCCCTGCTAGCGCGTCTCCGCTCCGCACCGCCACCGCCTCCGTCCCCCGCTTCCGCCACGCGCACCCGCCGTACCCCACGCGCTCGTCCGCCGCCGGCACGCCCTCCCACGGCCTGGGCGGTGAATCCACCGCGGCGGGCGGAGCATTAGGCGAAGCCAGCCAGGAGAACTCGCGCGGGCGGCTGGGAGGAGTCCAGACCGCGCAAGGCTCCGCACCGGGGAGAGCTACTCGTTGGTGCTGCTGCTGCTGCTGCTGGAATTGATGCCGTTGTTGCTGGTGCTGTTGCTGTGGCTGGTGTTGGTGCTGTTGGTGCTGTTGGTGCTGTTGTTGCGCGACAGCAGCGCCGCTCTCGGACGGGAGCGCGCGGGCTTCCGAACCCCAGTGGTCGCAGCTGGTCCTGGGCAGCAGCGGACCACCGCTATCAGCCTCTTCGCCTTCAATCGCTAACAGCGAGCCGGCGACAGCTCCGTTAGACCGACCGCCGCCGCCGCCGCCGCCGCCGCCGCCGCCGCACCCCTGGATACCGGACTCACGATCCGACACCTCTGCGACGGGTGCGGCTTCCACCTCGTGCTCCTGCTGGAGCACTATCTCCGCCGCGCGCCGCTTCCAGTGGTCGCGCCACGCGGTCTCGCACAGCAGCCGGCCCGGGCTGCCGTAGCGCGACGTGCACTGGGAGCAACGGCAAGCGAAGCGGGGACCGGATGAACCGCGAGATCTGGATTTGCCGGAGCTTCCGGGCGTTCCGGTTCCTGTCCCGGCTCGGGCCGTGGCTCCGTAATTGTCCACGTCAGCGCCTTGAACTTGTTCCTGCTGGCGCATGAGCGCGACTCGTCGCTCGCCTTCCTTACGGTCGTCGAGTTGCAAGGCGCGCAGATGCAGCTGCTCTCTGTTGTGCGCGTCGGCGGCGGCGACGGAAACAATGCGACCCGTGCGACCGCATCGGTGGAAGCAGCAGCAGCGCGTGGTCGCTTCGACGAGCTGAGACATTTCTGTTGCTACGGTGAGGTTCCGATAAAAAAACAGCGACTACCACCTACTACACCAAACGAGATGCACCGGTTTCCGCAGAATAGCTACCGACGAAAGAAACTACATATGCGAGTATCTAGCTAACACGGAAAGATCTCGGAGAGAACTTGCATAAGCAGGCAAACTGTTACAGAAAGGCTGTGGGAAAAGCGGGGGAGGAGGGTGGTTGGCTCGAATAGCATGGGTGTGACTGTGGGACAGACGAGGACTGAGGGGAGCAGGGAGGGAGGGAGGGAGGCGACGGAGCAGCAGTAGGCATGGCGCAGCAGAAAGAAACCCCAAGTTCGAATGACGCCTCTCTTTCGGTCTCACCCAAGTTCCTCCTGCTTCCAGGTAGGGAGGAAGCAGAGCGGCGGCGCAGGGTAAGGCAGGGAGAGGAGAGATGACCGGACGACGCCTCACGGGAGTCGGTCAGGGACGGAACAGGTTGGGAAGGGACGGAACGGGAGAGGGTGGGATGTCGTGGCATCGAGTCGATGAGGAGATGGACATGGATGTCAACGAGGGGTGCGATGAACTAGGGAGGATGATGATGGTGATGATGATGGTGAACCCAACGGCAAGGCAATGAAGAAGAGAAGAAATGTTTTGGGCCGATGCGCGGGCAGGTCATGATGTATGGTGATGGTGATGGTGGATGATGGTCATGGTAATGGATGCTGCATGACCCCACAATTGGGGCAAATCCTGCACACTACGGGCAGCCTGATTTTCAATGGCTCGGCTGTTCCATACAGAAGAAATGTTGCAGCCCGACTTTTGGGGTTTTGCTTGTTAACCCACCACCAACCTCGATGCTTGCATTGCTGCTGGGGCCACAATCATCACCCAAGCCACACCCGAAGTCGGACCAAACCCGCAATTTCAACAATTCAAATGCTCAAATTTTGGCGCGGAAGTGGTCGACTTTCGGATTTTGGCGGGATTTTCATCAAGGTGCCAGCTGGCTAGGGGAGAACAACGTGGACAGGGGAGGGGCTTATCTAGTTGAGCTGGTTGGAGAGTGCCCCGCTGTCGAGTCTACTTCTGCATAACATGTCTATACAGTGTCAATAAAGAGAGTGGCGAGCCTGCTATGATGTACCCACCACATCCACAATTTACATATATGAAACATACAAGACACATGCGTGGCAGTTGGTCCAGTAATTTACAGCATGGCGTTTATGTTTTGTGGTATGGATGCTCAAGGGTTTAAGTAATTGCAAATTGATTGTGGTATGTAAAAGAGACATAACTCATCTATACGTAAAACAGAAAAGGCATGATACCAACGGACGTCGACATATTAAATGAAAAAACATGTTAAATTAAAAAACATGTTAAATGAAGAAAAAAAAAACAGTAAATATTGTAGAAATGAACAACGTGTTTAGGGTGGCCATGATCTGAAGTTAGTGAAACCACGAGTAAAAGACAGCGGAAGACTTTACACCTTGTATTGGAAATGTCTGAAATAACAAAGATAATAATAATGAGTAATACATGCCAAAGCAGCTATGATGCTAGGAACGGTGGACGGCCATGGAATGGCGTGAGGGTTTATCAAGATGAGTAGTTGAGTAGAATAGAAGGATACAGGGATATATAGACTAGGGGTTGTACCCTGTAAGGCACAATCCAGTATAGTATACAATAACTACATAAGTTACATTTGACACACCCCCTATACTATATAGGGGCAGTGCCTAACAAGAGAAGAAGCAGCTCATGGCGGCACTACTAGTCCAGCCTCTGAGGCAAGGGTATAAAGACCAGTCAAAGGAATACAGGCAAGGCAAGAGCACGACCAGGGCGGCACTACTAGTCCAACCACTGGGAGAGGCCACAAGGCCAGCCAGGATAATATATATATAGAAAATGTTTGTACACAATCAAGGCCCTAGCAAGTGAGAGGCTACAATAACAAGACCAAGCTGTACACAGTGCCGCTGATGATCTTTAGGCGCAAGCGCCTTCGTAAAAATATCAGCTGTGTTGGCACCGGAGGCCAAGTGTACTACGTGGACCTGGCGATGCACCTGCAGCTCACGCAGGAGGAAGTACCGCAGCTGGATGTGCTTCGCTCTGCCCTCAAGTCGCGGCTCCTGACACAAGAGGATCATGGCCATGTTGTCAGCGTACAGAACCGGGGCAGAGCTAGGCCGCTAACCTAAGTCAGTGAAAAAGAAGGTCAGCCAGCGGAGCTCCTATGCTGCCATGGCACCGGCGTAGATCTCAGCCTCACAGCTGGACTGGGCAACAAACGAGGAGCGAGCAGCTCTCCACGAGACAGCACCTGAACGAAGGCTAAAGCAGTAGCCCTCTGAGGACCTAAGAGTCTCAGAGTCGTCTGCCCACGAAGCGTCTGTGTGCCCAGTAAGGACCACTAGCCTATGCCCTATAAGCACTAACCCCATGCCCGATGTACTTGCAAGATAACGCAAAACCCTCTTAGCGGCAGACTAGTGCTGAGGTCGGTGTCTGCCTGTAACCACAAAGCGAGCCAGGATGTTGAGAGGGTATGCGAGATCTGGGCGAGTGCAAGTCATCAGGTACATAAGGCAACCCACCAGCTCGGCGTAAGGGCCACTGGGCTCTACCAACTCCTCAGGAACTGGAGCACAGAGCATGTTGTCTACAAACAAAGGGGTGGGCTGTGCAGAGGACAACTGAAGACCAAACCTCTGAAGGACCTGGCGCACCAAGTGTGACTGAGTCAAAGTGATGGTGCGCGCTGCTCTGTCCCTAGAGATCTGCAAGCCAAGGTAATGGCGCAGTTCTCCAAGGTCAATGCAACTGTCTCTTCAGCAGCTCTGCCTTCACGCAGGCCAGTGCATCCCTGTCTGCAGTGGCGAAGACTAGGTCGTCTACGTAAACAAGGATATAAAACGGAGTCTGGCCTACACGAACAAAGAGTGAAGGGTCTGCAGAGGACGGAAAGAACAGCAGGTCAGCAAGGGTAGCATGCAGCGTGTCGTGCCACTCACGAGGAGCCTGTCGCAGGCCGTAGACAAGGCGCCGCAGGAGCCACTGGTTCCCAGGAGGGAAGGTACCAGTGAAACCCTGAGGGCGACGCAGGTAGACCTGCTCGTGAAGACTACCCTGAAAAACGCTGTAGAGAGGTCGAGGGAGTGAAGCTCGTAGTCACGTTGAGCTGCTATGAGTAGCAGCACCCGAAGAGTAGTCATCTTCGGGGTCGGAGCAAAGGTCTGCAAGAAATCCACCCCCTCACGTTGACTGAAACCTCTAGGCACGTAGCGCGCCTTGAACACAGGCGGCTCTCCAGGAGGGCGCTTCACCTTGAAGAGCCACCGACAATCCCAAAAGTTCACCCCAGGTCGGGGGAACTGCGTCGATGTAGGTGCCGGTGGATCTCCAAGATGCCATCTCCTACTCCATGGCAGCTATCCACTAAGAGGGCCAGGGTCCCGAGACCGCCTCAGCGTAAGTGCGAGGGGTCTGGATGTCGAAAGCGTCGGGGTCACCCTCAGAGACTAGAAGCATGGAACGGAGATGGGGAGTAGCCTCGGACAGGAAAGCAAGCTCGTACTGACATTCCTCCAGGACGTCACTGCCGAGTGCAGGAGCACCCCCGACAGACGGAGGACAGGCAGGGTCAGAGACTAGAGCGGTGGCGTAGTCAAGGCGGCGAGTAGATGCGAATCCAGCAACCGCAGCGACAAGAGCGTCAAGGCACGAAACCGGAACAGACAAGTCGGTAACGAGAGAGGGCAAGGACCCGAGGAACAAGAGGACAAGCAGCACGCAGGTAGTCAGACAGAGGGGGGCGCAACAACAGGGGAGGACGAAGGAGGCGACGGGAGAAGGGAAGGACGAGACGTGTGGGAACGAAGCAACATAGGGTGAGAGCACGAGATAGGGGAGACATGTCGAGCACGGGAGGGACGGCGAGAACAGATGTAAGACGGAGGCGTTGGGTCAGGAGACAGAGGAGGGGACACAAGAGGGGAACGAGGGGGGAAACGAGCCGGAGCAAGTCCGGAGGAGGTAACACAGGGCCGTAGACAGGAAGAGGAGGAGGCACAGACACGGGGTCAGGGGACGGAAGGCCGAGTAGGCGAAGAGCTGACACTGGCGGGGACTAAGGCTGTGGGGTTGGGACACCGACACCGGGTCCGCAAGCTGCCGGACGGCTACCTCCAGAACACTCCACTCCAGCACCCCCAGAAGGAACACCCCCAGAGCTCAGAACCCCACGAGCCGGGGTACCACCCCCAGGCCCGCCGGGACAAGCCACGTCAGGAGTCCCAGGACTAGTACTCGCCCCAACTCCACCACCCCCAGAGTCGACGAACTGCTGCGGCGACGGCTGAACCGGCGGCTCCGGCGGCGGCGGCTGCGACAGCGGTGGTGACGGCGGCTGCGACAGCGATGGCAATGGCAGCTGCAAAGGCGGCGGAGGAGGAGACACCTGAGGAGGGGCAGGCAGAGAGGACTGCGCCGCAGCACCACCAGAGTCAGTAGACTCCTCAACCGGGACAACCGACGTAAGGGGGGTGACGTGGGACACAACGGAGGGGGCAGGACGGGGAGGGGGAGGGGGAGGGGTAGGGAGTACTGGGGAAGGGGTGAACAGGAACAAGGGCAAGGGTAACCGGGGGACCTCGGTGGGGGAAGCGGCGGTAGAAGGAGACGAACTCGTCAAACGTGACATCGCGGAAGTGAAAGAAACGGTGAGACGGCGGGTAGTAGAAGTGCCAGTCAGACGCGTCAAGGGGGAAACCGAAGAGGATACAGGGATGGGTGCGGACAGTGAGATTGTCCATGCCAAAGGCACGAACGTGAGCAAGGCAGCACCAGATGTGAAACGCAGACGCGTCACCAGGTGACCCAAACCAAAGAAGGGTCGGCGAAACCTGCGGCTGCTGAGGGTGCGGCCTGAGGTTAAGCTGGTGAGCGGCGTAGCGAACAGCGAACGGCCACAGAAAATGGGGGGCACCGGCATGGATCATGGAGGTGCGAGCCACCTCCATGACCAAACCGATGCGTTGCTCAGCGACCCCATTCTGCTGCGGGAAGTCCGGCAAGGTGAACGTCTGGGTGATGCCCTCCGCACGACAGAAACGACCAAGGACACCAGAGGCAAACTCGCCACCACGGTCGTAGTGGAGACGCAAGACAGGGAGACCGCGGTGGACACGCGCAGAGACAAGCCACGGGATGAGAACGTCAGGCACGTTGGCCTTCCACTCCAGGGGGAACACAGTGGTGTAGTGCGTGTAGTCAACGACA